TTTAGCTCAGCAAGTTAAAAAACATTTTTGACCAGTAAGACCAAAAATATGCACCAGAGGCGCACTCTCATGGCGGAGGGGGGGAGAGAATTTTCATTCATTAAGGCTTTTATTTTTGAGCATCCTGTCAATCAATTGACTGAAAAGTACTTTTAACACCTCAAAACAAAGAATTTTATGAATGAAGCCTGCATTTACCGCTAGAGGGTTAATTTAGTAACACAAGTCGCAGGAGACGTGAACTTTTCCTACTGGTCAAGAAAATATTCTAGAATTGGGACAGAAACCCATGAAAAAATTGTTAGCCTGCAGTGCTTTGAAAGGTACCAGTTAGCATTTAAATAAGTAATCAGAGAGAATAGCTGTGTATACTTTTTGTTTTTCCGCATTTACTTCCTTTACTTGTGAGGATTGGCTTGGATCACGTACAACTTGCATGTTTTTTGAGACAACTTATTTATGTTTAATTATAGTAACACTTAAAGCAGTTGCAGGTGGTAAGAAGTGTTGCTTCAAGGGGTAAATTTTACCAGTTACCACCTGATAAGGAGAACACTGATAACCGGAATAGAAAAAGCACCCTAAGGCAACAAGCTTTAGCTATAGTAGTGCTGATCAAAATACCTTTTGCATTATTTTATGGATTATTAATTAGGCTTCAATTATCATACTTAGAGGCGGGCTTGCCCACTAGCCACCTGCAACAGTGTTAGGGTAAGAGTGATTTTTGTTTGAAATTGAAATGAAAACAAGTGAACAAATGTGCGTGGCTTTTGGCTGGTTAACCGAACACTCGGCTGAAAAAAATTCATGCCCAAAGAACTTTCTTTAAATCAGTCGATACTTCACTTTGACGCCATATTGCAACACAATTGACCAATTGAACAATGCCTTCTCCATAGTACGGTTTTCTTTGGCGGATACGGTAAATAACATTAACACTTACCAAAACCATTTTTCAAGGTCATACGAAAATCACTCTACCTGGTAAGATTGTTCCAGTTCTGAATAGTTCCAGCTGCAATATTATCATTCCCAATCTCAGAAAGGTTGTAGACGTCTAACTCCATAATGCAGTTAGACTAAGGGAGCCTCATAAGATTTAAGGATACGTCTAAAAATTGTTAAGCTGAGCATGAAAGCAAAGTACATTGTATTAAAGGCATCCCCATGGGCCTTTAAAAACATTTTTGTGATCACTTGCACAATCAAACAAATTGCTGCTATCTGGCTCGTATCAGATTCAAGTCATCTCAAACTCAGAGAGTGAAAAACCCTGGCAAATTTTAATCGTAAGAATTTTTCAACTTGATTACGATTTTCAGAATGTTACTAATTAAATCTTGACAGATCATTCTCTAGATGTTTCAAGCACGTTAAAAGAAGAAAAAAAAAAAAAAAAGGACCAGTTTTCCAGAGTTTACACCTAGGCCTTTTATCACAGTAAATTTTCCTTACCAGCACAAATTGTTCCAATTATTCTTCCACTTTGCTTTTGTTCCTGGAGAATCGATCTCTTTAACTTTCGCAGACTGTAAATCATACAGAATTAAAGTAAGCCTTTGCCTCTCATCAGCTCTCAAAATTTTCATTTAGAATTAAAAATATAAATACCTTAGCAAGGTTGTTAGATCCTCCTAATCCACCAGGCAAAATAACAGCATCATATGGACCCTAAAAATAAAAGTAAAACTTTTTTCTATCAAACAAGCATTCCCTCTTCCCTTGCTGTGTTCTCCCTTTCAAGCATTGTTCATCTTGCGTTCCATGTTCCTTATGAGCTGTCTACACAATGTCAAAAAAAACTGATTTTCAATTTCAATTTGAATTTCCAAAAGTTTTGGTCTTTATAAAGGGAATGGTCAAAAATTTAAAAAATAGTTATAGAATGGCACCGTTCATGTGATCACCCATTCACTCCTGGGGATTTTGCCAAAAAATGCGTTTGGAAGCTGGTTGAGCAGTTTTCTAGTCATTGTCTGACTACATGTATAAAGAGCTAATGCAAAACTTATACCACAAAGCTGTTTACAGGTCATAGCCTTTCTGGCCTTCTGATCCAGATGCAAAATGTTAGCTTGCGAAGTTTGAGCATGTGCAGAAAGCAAAATTTTTTGGGTTGAAAAGTGACACAACAGTCTTTACTTTTTCTTTGCATTTGTTTTCCTCTCCTCTTCATAAATTCACGAGTCTTTTCTTGCCCCATTTTTTTTCTCTTTTGCTGGGAATTTATTAAGCTTTACTTTGCTGGGAATAGTTTTTGGGAAAGCTTTTAGGATTTTGGAATTAGATGAAAGGAAAGGTAGGTGGGTAGTGAAACAGGATTTTCAGGGAAGTTTTTGGGTCAATGTTACATGTTTTTTTTTTCCTTTTTCTCCAGTCTCCTTGACTGAATCATGCTCATTCTGGTATGGTTTGAAAGATCTCTTCACCCTGCACAAGTTAGCAGACAAAGTTGTCCTTGGCCATTAAAACTGAGGATGTCACAGGCAGTAGAAGGGATGTGGAATCTGCAGGGGCAGCTATGGGTGATTCAGGGGCAAATGGGTTAAGACAGGTCCAAAACAGACAACTGGTCCAGCTTCAAATGCGGACTTGTTTCCCCAAAACTTTTCCGGTTGGACTGAAAGTATTCTGTTTTAGACAATTCCAGGCAACTTCTAAGGGACTCTTTTTCTAAGAAAGAAGACAAATTTTCCTTTTTTTACATGTTACCTCCTACCTGCTTAATGGCATCCTCTAAATAAACTCATATCTGGTTTGATGACCACAACATATCGACTGCATGTGACAGCATCTGCACCAGCAAGACCTCCAACCACTGTCTTAACCTGAAACAAAATCTACAAATTAAAACCGTTCTGATAAATACTCTTTAACTTGTTAAGTTGATTAAAACTTTAATATGTAACAACTACATTACAAATATTCAAATATATGCTATATTTAAACATTCTTGCATCAAGCTGTGTGAATTTCACATAAAACTGACAATCAATAGGACATCAACTAAAAGAGAAATAACTGTAATCAGAAGTCCGACCCCTAAATACCGTCCTTTCTTTGCATCCAAAGAGCCACACCTACCAACCCACCAGTTGACCCACTCACTGCTGGGCACAGGTGGCAGTCATTCAAAAGCTACTGGATACCCCCAAAACCCTGGAAAGCGCTATCCACTGGATAAATCACTATCCAGTAGATAAGTATTAGGGAAACCAACTAAACTATCCAGCAGATAGAGATTTCTTTGGTTTTTGGTGATATCCACCTTTTGGGTGGCTGGATCGGATAAATCAAGTAAGTTTAATTAACTAAGTGAAAATCCTGAAATAAGAATGACCATGACCAGGTTTTATGAGTCCACGAGACTGAGCACCCCACCCAATCCCTTGTTGTCACTAAAATTGCTGGACGTCAACCTGGTTGAGGTCATTGTTACAGAGATGCGATGCCAACCTCTGGAGATCTAAAATCTGGAGACTGTCTCTTTTTCACTACCCCCCATCCCCGAATTTTAACGGACCCCCAACAAATTGACCCAGTCCCAAATGGGAATGGCTATGGACATTATATGAAGTCTTACATGACATTACATACTATAGAAATTCACGTTCATTGTTTTGATGCCAAAATAATCTTTGTCAGTGCATACTGCCCCTGAAACCCTACTACGAATAAAAAAAATTCAAATTTGGAGAGGGAAATGGGCTAACTCTCAAACTAAAGCACAGAAAAGCGCAAAAGATGATTTCATCCGGGAGATTTGGTAACCCATACGGGATAGTGGGAGATCGGTGCCATATCCGAGAGACTTCCGGATAATCCGGGACAGTTGGCATATATGTTGTTATCTGAGGTCTTCCTAATTAAGCTTGCAAATAATATACCTGCCAACTTTTTCTGAGATGTAGGCGTGAGATTTTTATCCTGGGAGTGCTGGGATTTTTGAAAACGACACGATCATTTCGAAGATTCCCGAAGAAGTCCGAAGTCTCCGAAGGCGTCCGAAGTCTGCGAAGGCGGTTATCGAGAAAACGCTTATCCACAAAACCAGAGATCGCGAGGAAGGTATTGTCATTTATTCATTTTACACATGGTTTTCGTTCCTTAAATGGGTCTGAGTTAACATATTTTTGGAAATTGTGTCAAGCAAGACGGCAACAACTCACATTTTTCAATCAGCCGTGAGAAATTGGTCCGCAGGCGTGAGCCGGCGTGAGATCGAAGTTTTCAACCCGCAGGCGTGAGACTCACGCCTAAGGCGTGAGAGTTGGCAGGTATAAAATAATTAAGCTTATATGTTTGGCAATACTTTGAGGTGTGTACTTCATGAACTGCATTCTCATTTTCCATAAATATCACACCTACAAACTTATTAGAAGCGGTTACATACGCCAAGATACCTTCCCACGTCGAAGCACGTCTGTGGTGATCACTGCTTCCATTTCTTCAGCACCTTCGGCCAAAATAACCAGTGCACTGCCTTTTAGATCCGCCATGTTGGACGAGCACAACAATCTAGTACCCAGACCTCTAATCGAAACGCAGAAGCGATAAAAGAGCATGAGATCCTTGCAAAGTATTTCTAAAGTTTATCAGTAAATTCAATTTCAACCTCTTTTTCAGTATTAATGGAGTCTTGAGTGTAAGAAAAAAATTTTTCCTGTCCTGCTTGGACGGAAAGAAACACCAATCAGACGAGAGAAACAAACTGAACGTAGTGTAAGGAATCATGGGACACATCATGGTGGCTAAATTCCAGAGTAGCTTAGTTCCCATGAAGACGTAAATATTTTCTGCGCAACCTAAGCATTTTGAGAAATCCTATCTCAAGCCAATTTTAAGGATTCTTTAGGTCTCTTAGGCTATAAAATCAAGCTTTGATTGGAAAATGTAGAATACAGTGTGTGTAGGAGCTTATCGGCGATTGTTTACAAGTTGAGTTTTATCGTGATGAATGGGCCAAGAGTTCCAAGGGACCGACTTTAGAGTACAGAATGTGGTATTACTTTGTTGCTCACTGCGCTTATCACTTTACCAGATGGTTTCCAAAAGATTCCCGAGGAGCAGCGTAAGTTAACTTAAATTTTGTTAGTTTTTGGTGAAGTCGAAAGCTTATGAGGACAAAAATGCATGGTCATCTTGGCAAGACATTGTCCATTGAACGACTGTTGAGCCCTGATCCAATTAAAAGATTGCTTCCTTTTTTGATTTGGGTCAGGGCAAACACCTATTGAATTTGTTAGGTATATGCAGTAACTATTAGGCAGGGATCAAACAGTTAGGGGGGTACTTTTAGCTGTGCTTTTCTTTTGTTTTGCATGAAAGTACATGTACCTTGGCGGAAGGGTCATGCTTATAGTAGCTGCAGGAAATCCCTGCCCCCCCCTCCCCTCTAACACCCCTCAACAACTTAAGAGAGTATCATATGCGTATTTTGTATAAGAGGTACAGATGGATAACCAAGCTATAGTTGCGTGTATTCAGCAGCCTGTATTGATCTCAAACCGCAGCAGGATTAGCTCAGTCGGTAGCTTGCTTGACTGCAGAGCAGGAGGTCATGGATTCGATTCCCAGGGCCGCACCAAGTCCAATCTCGACCCAGAGCACTTCTGCGCATGTAGAGGAGAGAGCTATCAAGAGCTCTGGAGATCCCTGGAGCAAGATTGTCTCTGATTTGTTTCAGCAAAAAACAATAAAAGTGTTGCTGATTGGTCCATTCAAGTTCGCACGAGAGCGGTTGAATGTGTGGTGTGTCTGGCTTGTGAGCGGGTTTTTCCTAGAAATGTTGAAGTAAACATGACTGGCCGATTCTTGATTTCAGTGATTCCAAAACAACATTTGCACGACTAATAATCAGGCAGAATTACTGGATTTTCCAATTTTCAAATAAAATAGCTTAGCTACATATCGAAAATTGAACCAGAAAAAGATTTGAATGCGAAAGACTAAAATAAAATACACCAACATCTTTGCCAGCTATAATTTAAGAAGCATAACACATTACTGGTTTTTCTTTGACTTCCACGTTATTGTATTCACACAAAGTAGCCAGTATGAATGAAAACTTGAGCTTCTTGTCGTAAATTGCCTAAAACAGACTTGCAAGGAAAAACAGAAAAAAGTAAATCGTTCCTAAAAGTGATGCATGTACAATGCGACTAGATATTTATAGTTGTCTTCTTTTCCCATGATATCGCATTTCAAAGCTGCAGCTTCGCTGAAGTGCTGATGTTCATATAAATAAAAGGACGCTAAATTCATATTTTGGAAAGTTTTATTGGAATTTCGATACGTTTATCTTAACAAGCCATTCGGGTTTCACTTACTGCCTCTTGAAGTAGTCCACAGAAATATTTAATCAACTGTCAAGCATATGCAAACTTCAAGTCTCAAATCTGTGATTGGGAACGTTTAACAGCTACCACAAGAGCCTTAGATACCTGAATATTCCTCAAGGCCATTATAAACTGAATTTCTTCAGTTCTAATATTGAAGCGGCACAAGACTTTCGCGATGAAGTAGATATAAAAGAAACAAAAAGTTTTAGTTGGATCAAATAGCATGTGCTGTGAGGCCCAAATAGCCAGATTCTGGCTACTCCGGTGCGCAGAGTTTCCAGAGCTTACACGCACATTCCCAAACCCGTAAGCACTGGGGTAGAGAATGCACCAAGTCAGGGTCATAAAGTATGTTTTGAGAAATGAAAGTACTTCTATTGCCTTGTAAACGGCCCAACCTTTGCATGGCTTGGATGACGTACATTACAAATCATGTACATGTAAATGGGAGTTCCATCACTAGAATGAGACATTAAAATAGTGTTCGTCGTCCTAAATACATTGACAAAAAAAACGCATCTTTTTTTTATGAACTGATAACAATATTCAGTTAGTTTTAGATGTTGATTTATTGCATAAATATCGCATTGATAATTGCAACCTTATTTTTTCAACAGGAGACTTGCTGTTGTACTTTTTGCCCTTATGTTCATTATACCACAAGTATATGTGATTCAGCTGTAAGTATTGACTACTTAATTTATACATAATTTACAGTAACATAATCTTTTAGTATAGTAGGACAATGGGTGGAAAGAGCTGTTAACCAGTAGAAGTATTCTCTTCTTTGATGCACAAAATTAATGTAAAACCAGCTGGAAGACACAAAATGGCCAATTGAAGTAAAAGCAAGCCAGGTTAACAGGCTCTATTTATCAATTTAGAAACAAGAAGAAAACTGAGCGAAGTTAACTATCACAATGACTTCTGAGACTGATACTAGGGACAGGGAAAAAACTTTGGTCAAAAACTTTGTAGCTGACAAGCACGCCCTCAGTAGCGATCCCAGAAACAATAATTAATATTATTGTGGCAGGTATTTCAGCTCCGGTTTCCTTCTTGTTCTAAAGTGGCAAATTTTGAGTGATCATAACTTTTTTTTACTGTTGTTTAACTTGTTAAATAAATCCAGTACACATCCATGAGAGCTCAAAATTTGAGACACAAAATAATAATCAAAATCGCGTGTAAAATGGAAGAAATATCAACCTGCAAATAACAGCTGGTCTTACTCAAATATACCTAATGTCAGATGATAATTATCATTCCTGTAGCTTTGTATTCATGTCAAAATAGTAAGACAACCATTTGCAATCTGAAGGTTTCTAATAGTAATCATGGAACAGTCATTGACTCTGTTGACCCTTTCTCAAATCTCAAATCTCAAATCTCAAATCTTTATTTTAACACAGTAAAAATTCATCAGGTTTTTTGTTACATATAAAGTATAACTACATAACAATATTTAATAATAATAAATACATATCTAAAGAGTCTCTTTATAAAAATACTACTCAAAATTACACTAAACTATACCTGTTTTCCATGAATACCGTGTATCTAACTTAATTATAACTAAAATGAAAGTTTAACAATTGCTTAAAACGATTTAGAGATTTCTCTTGCCTAAGATTGCAGGGCAGACTGTTCCAGAGAGTTGCACCTCTATAGCTAAAGCTCCTTTTTAGGTAGTTGGTTAAAGTCTTTAAAGGTCAAATGAACCAAAAAATTGAAACATTTTTTTTTGTCACTTTACCTTCACCAAACACTAAAAAGAACCATCCTAAGTGAGATGTGGGTAAAGATTTTTCTTCCCAAGCCTTTATAGAAAGATAAAAGATCAAAATCCGAGCATTTCAGAAAACTTCACGAAAACGTTTCTGAAATGGCCGCGTGATAGACTGGAGACTACGTGACGTCAATGTTGGTCTTTCAGGACGGAAAAACGTTCTGCGCAAGCTTCTGCGCATCCCTTATCGCCTGCGTTTGTTTGTCTCGTTCTGTGAGAGTTCTGACTGAGACTGAATGAAATACACGAGGTGCGAAAGTTTGCTCCTTTTAAAGGCTTTTTTTTTGTTTTTGTTGTTGTTGTTGTTGTTTTTTCGTCACTTGAAAATTACTTTGGATTCAGAACAACCAATGTTAAAAACAGATCATCCATCAGTCTGAGGAGGAATAAAACAATTTGAACATTTCCAAAGAGGTTTGTATTTTTCTGATAATAGGCCACTTGCACTAAGAGGTCACGTGACCAATACTTCCCTTAAACGATTAGTTGGAATCCTGCTGATGCCAAAAATTGACAGAGCACATAAAAATTATCTTACATGCGAAATTTGAGAGAAAAAACCATTTAAGGGAGATATTTTATGGCACTTTGATTTTTCAACAAAGTAGTATGATTTGTATTGGCCGCCATGTTGGAGGGCATACTCTTGCCCTCCAACATGGCGGCCAGAACTGCTTTTTGCTTACATCTTCTTAAACTTTTGATAGTTATGTTCAGATGTGCTACAAACGTTACCACATCATTTTTCAACATTTTCCGTGGAAGTTTAAGTGCAAAATTTGTGTTCAGAAAGAAGTGATTTGTAATTTTCAAAATCACATTTTGGTCACGTGACCAGCTACAAACTTACTCATTTTATCACAACGGTGCAGGTTTGAAAAACCAAATCAGTATTATTTTGTTTAGAATATGACCCACTAATCATTTTTTGAAGGCAAAATTATATAACTTTCATCTTCATAAAATGATGTCACATGACCTCTTAGTGCAAATGGCCCATTGTGCATTCGATTTGTGAATTGATTTTGTGTCCAGTTCTTCACCTTCTTTCGCCGGACTGAATTAAAACCCGCTTGTATTCTGTTATTAGTAGTTACGGTTAGTTTTTTTACATGGCCAGATTTATTTACCTTTGCAGAACGGGCTTTATCCTCGTCTTATGTCAAAGAACCGTAATGCTAACGCTTGGGAGTGAACAAACTTGGGCGCTTAAAACTTCCTCGGAACTTTAGAAGGCTAGCAAGCTTACTCGAGAAGAAAAGACTACTTCGATAATTTTTCTGTTGCTCAAGTAATAATAGTCAGAGTTTTTTTCCTTTAGTTTTTTCAGTTTTAATTACATAGTTTTGTTATCTTTCTGTACGCAAATTTTCCTTTCACTCGCTGTGAAGTAGCGCGGAGAACGACAACTGCCGGCAGTGACTCCAAAACAATCGACTCTTTGCCCGTAAACAGTTGCTGGAGCTGGATTTGACTGAAGCGAGCAAAAGAAATCCTTATGTGCAGTTTTCTGTATTTTCTGATTTAGTTTGCTGAGTTTAATTTGCTTGAATGAAGACCCTCGCATGGACCAGTTATTAAAAGTAGCTAATCTAGCTAAGTAGTCGGAATCATGGCTTGGCTGCGAAGCTTGCAACTGATCTTTTGCTATTAAGATCTTTAGGTAGGTTGTTTCCGTACAGAAAACTCACTTCTTCTTTGTCAGCAGGTATAGGAGCCTTAAGCCTTATGTTTTTTAATGAAAATTTGTTGTTTTGCAATCTTATTGAAGCTTTTTTTAGTTCACTTAAGCTGAATTTTATGCATGATGGAATTGTTCTTTGCTTGTCGCATCTCTTTGCCAGCTTAAAGTGGCGTCTTTGGTCGTTAAAGTGACCTCAATCGGTAATTAAATCTTATACATAATTGGAAAGAAGTTTTTGCAATAATGTAACTTTAACTTTTTTTGAAGGAAATCTTACTTTAATACGCGTAGGTTTTTAACAGGTGTTATGCATGTTCAACTTGACAACACAAAGCAAAATTAATCTGCCCGAAACGATCAAGTTTAAAAAACTATGGTTGCTTTGAAAATGATCTTGGGGAAGATGTACTAGATAAAGATTAACTCTTTTTCCGCCCATATATCAACGCCAAAACTTGTACGTTGAGGATTTTGTTTATATTTTTATAGTGATCTGCGAAGCTAGAAGTGTCCGATCGAGCGTGGGTTTTAAAATATCAGCACGAGTGCAACAAAGTTCAGGGACTTCAAACACATTGTGGGCAAACTTGAATTTCTTTGGGCAGATTATTATACAAAGTTATTTTGTTTTTGTGTTCACGGTGGAGCTCCGGACCCTAATCAGACTTACACAAGCACATTTCCAGTACAACTCAAGGAAATTAGTAAATGTCGTTAAAGTCCGTTTTACTATGATGTATTCTTCAAAAAAATTAAATAATAAGAAGATTATAACCATAGCTTGCAACTTTTGAAGACAAATTGCCTGTTATTTCCAGGTTTATGGCCGCACAAACCACTTCCATGCCAAGTCGACTCGAAAAACTGTTTTGAATTTCCCGCTTTTTTTCACCTGACCAACATTGACGTCGCAAGCTGTTTTTTCCGACAATAATATTTTTCCAACCGCTCTACGAAGATAAGGGCCAAAAAACAGCAATTTTTAATTGCGAATATCTCGTAGACACTTGCTTCAATTGAGCTGAAACTTCATAGTATGTTTATTTGGTTCACTTTTCACTGGAATTGAACTAAAATAAAAAAGGTCGAAATTTTGGTTCATTTGACCTTGAAGTCCCAATAGTGACCAACATCAATTTTCTCCTAACAACATCCATACATAGTCAAGAGGGAGGATTATGAGAATGAATTAAATGATCACCAAAGAGAAAATGCCTTGATTTTTTATTAAATTCTCTCACCTAATTCTTAAAGGAAATTTATGGAGATCAGTGTTTGGAGAATTTGTTTGTGGATATTGGGGCTTGAGGGGTTAATGCGGACATTGAATGGGTCATAGAAAGTGTCCAATAAAATTAATTTTGTTATTAACCTAGTTTGCTTCTCAATTTCCTTTGTCTCCAATTCCTAGTTCATGAATAATTTTAGGGCTAGGAGACAAAGGAAATTAAGAATCACCCTGGGTTAAAAATTTTTTACCTGAATTTAATTTTGACCTGTAAAAGATCTTTCCATAGGTAACCTTCTATTAAACCTTAATTCCTTTTCATGGTATGTTAAGACTCCCTTAGCCTGCATCGCAGACATACATGTAACCTAACCGTGGTCAGTAACGTCTGCAAAGCAGTGCTGATATCCTTATTTTGGGCCCACAACTGAGTCAATTAACTTCTGAACATTTGTTTCAATTTTTCCTTCAACCTAATTGGCAGATCAATTATGACATGCAAATCATGACACCCCTGGTACACTTTTGAAGGCCCAGAACAAGGATATTGATGCTGTTTTGCAGGCAGAATTAACCAGAAGTTTAGTTCTGTCTTTGATGTGGGCTGCGAACTGCCAGTGACTTGAGCAGGTACAAAAACTCCTCGGTTTTTGAGGGGTGTATTTTTACCCTTCAAATGCCCATATCTGCCCATGAGGATCCCCATCCCTTGTACTACTTGTGATGTCATTGGTTTGAATGGTCATAGACTATTTTGACACCTACAACTCGAGCAGGAAAAAGAAATCTTTCATGAGCATGAATCAGGCAAACAGGCCAGAGAAAAAATGTAAAATGAACATCTAAGATTGACCAGAAAATTGACTACTTACCCATACACATACCGTGCACTTTCTACTAATACTTATGATTTTTGTTGAAACTTTTTCACCTGAGTGGGAGCCTAGTAATAATTTATTGCCCAGCCCAACCCCCCCAAAAAAAAATGAGGAAAGAATTGCAAAAGAACTGGGAAGGAGAACTAAGTGAAATGTAAAAGTATCAACATTTTGCCTTCTGGCCGTGCCTGAACTTCAGAAGCTGATATTTAGCGTCAGGAAGTGCTTGACTTATAAACAGTGCAGTGCTTTGGGCTGTTTTGGTTCATTTTGGCCAGTTAATGAGCAGAAAATGGATCAACTACCTGTGGCCAATAAGCTGGGGCCAACACGTTTTAAAGCGAAATTACTACATTACTTACTTGTGCTTTTTATTTTATTTGCTGTAGGCCTCCAAGCTCTCGGACCTGTGATGAACCTTTGCTCAACATCTCAGTTGCAGGTGTTGTTTTTACATTCGCTATGATAGGTACAGTGTACTTACTGCATCTGGTGTTCCGTTAACTACGTACCAGTAATTTTTAAAAACAATGTGCAGGTCCAGATCATATCCATAACTTCCAGTTAAGACCCCACACACCTTTTGAAATTCCAATAATTACAGCTAAACTTCATCCATTCCTTGGTGAGGGGGGAGCCCAGGGCTGTCAAAAAGTTTTTAAGTAGTAGGCTGATAATGTGTACTAGGTGGCTTTGGAACTTGCACCAAAGGCGCAAGTTCTTGAAGGCTGCGGCATCAAGAGTCATTTTGAAATTTAGAGTCTCAGAAATGGTGTTTCCAGGGGTTTTCAAGAGGTATTTTCCATCGCAGATGCCATCAATGAGGTCAAGGATAAATTGAAGGTCTTCATACAAAATCGTCCTTGTGATATGCAAAATTTTGACCTGTGACCATTAATTTGCAGTAAGGTTCAACATATGTGCAAAAACACATCTTCTTTCCTGGCAGTTTCTTTTGTAGTGCTAACGTCCAACATGACACTGAGTTTCTTTCACCAAACAATGAATTTTTTTCAGCTAATAATATGTCTCTGGTTATATTGATCTGTGGCTACTACATGTAGTAGCTCAGGGCTTGACAGTGGTCTAAACATTCCCTTTCCAATTGAAATTTACAGACAACAAGAAATTATTCTAAACTGCCTACAAATTGGCACAAAAAAATTTCTTGTAGCATGACTATGACTTTTATTGTGGATTTGCTTTTGTACTTTGACTTTTTGCTTGCTTATTTTGCATGTGCTGCAAAATATCTCACTAAAAGTGAGATTAGTTGATTATCGCTCACCACTTCATTACATCCCGTCCTTTGTGCTATATCCTGGAAGCTACCGTGTGGCACAAAATTTTTGAGGGTTATAATTTTTGCGATTCTTCCAGCGATCTGCAGAAATAAGTTCCCACAAATTAAAATTACCACAAACATTTTTCCTGCTAAAATTTACTCCAGAGTAAATATTCTCTAACTTAAATTCGCTACACAAAAGTACAGTACTAAGAAATCATGTCTGTTCAATCACAACTTGTCTCTTTCATTCACAAACAATGAAATAATGGTTTATTGCTTGAAAATATGTATTTCTATCACACATACTCAATAAAAGTGAAAATATCATCAATGCTATCTTCTGAGTACTTTCTAAAAATTGTAAAAATTAATTCTCAGCAAGAAAAATCAATCTGTCCTAATCGCGAAAATTAGTTCCTGCAAAAGACAAAAAATCGCTAATTTTGTGCCACATGGTAGTTGCAGCACCCCCTCCTCTTTAATCCCCTCTGGTTTCAATGTTGAAGAGTGCATGCAGCTTTCTGAAGTGAAGTGCAACCCAACTAAACACCTTGTTTAATCACAACATGCACATGACATGCCATTCTACAAAATACACTATCCATTGTTATTTTCATTTGACCTTACTCAACAAAGAACAACATCGTCTGGGGGAGAGGGGTGGGGGCTGCTTTTCCCTTGGGGAGGGGGAAGGGGGTAGTCATAGCCTGTGTTTTTGCTTATATTATACATGTACATAAATACTGTACCATGAACTTGTGCAGCAACATGTGGAGTCAATGCAGATCCATTTTTATTTTTACTCTCAGGTTTTACATTTTTATTCGCAATCATGGAACCTGTGCCATGGCAGCTTAAGATTGCATTTCATTTCTTTGTCTTTGGATCCCTCATTCTTGGCATGGTACTGTTTGCATCAACATTTGCCTCTGAATTATGTGTGAGTGTTTTCTTCTTGTTGTTTTTTATGGGAACCTTAGAGTTAAAAAGTACAGTTTGACTCCCGATAACTCAAACCTTCTAGGGAGACCAAAAAAAGTTTGAGTGATCAGGAACTCGAGTGCGAGGCAAATAACTGGAAATAGGGAAAGAAGCAAATGGATGGGGAGGGAATACAAGTATCATGCACTCTCTACTTCAAAGGCAGCATTGGATGACATAAAAATTGTTATTTCTAAAAAGGAATTAAGCAACAAATCTTGATTAAGATAGAGGGATGGACAAAGAATTGACATGGTTGTTTTGAAATAAAAGAGAGATAAAGCATTGTGTTTACAGCAACCGGCAAACATAAGATTCAAGTTGTAAAATTTTCAGATATGGAAAGAATTAGTGTGAACCTATGGATTTTCGTGTAGTTATAATGAACTGTAAATGATAAGTAATAATTATGGAAAACTTTGTCACATGGTACAAATTCACGTTTGCAGTATAAATGCGATGTTTAATCTCTCTAAATTCAATGTTTCAGACTTCAGTACAATGTTTTTTTTTCCAACTTTTTATGCGCTTGAAGCATGGTTCGGGTTATCAAGGGTAAAATTATGTAGAAATGACCTGAAAGGAAACAAAAATTACTTCGAGTTTGCGGGAGGTTCTGGTTATCATGGGTAAAATTACAGTAAATGTGTAAAGGAAATCCAAGAGAAATCAACTTTAGTTCGAGTTAGCACGAGGTTTGAGTTATCAGGAGTCAACTGTATGCCAAGTGCATTTGTTAAGTTATATAAGCATGCAGGAAGTGGGAACATCCTCACAATCCCAGGTGTTCTCAATAGTTGCCAATAAACTGGAGTTTATTAAATTTGGTTCTCCCTGCAAGGTTTACATAACAAAATCCCCAGAAAAACCCTGAAGGATCTTGATAGTAGAAGGAAAGTGGCCCAATGCAATTTAATAGTAATACCAAAGCAAATCCTACAAATTTAGGCCCCAACTCCCCAAGAAAGGAAAAAAACTGGATCACAATCCATTCAAAAACACCCAGGCTCCATTCTCCAACCCAAACACACAGGGTGCAAAGAAAATCATTTTTACAGCTTGTCATTCGGGCAAGCTGAATCTAGCATTTACTAGCCCACAAGTCATTTCAACTAGCCCCACAGCAAAAGTTTTTTGATGAGCAGAATTGATTTCACAGTTCTTCTGTTATTCAGATTCCTCCAAAAACATCACTTGCCCAGTGGGCAAGTTAAAAACGGAATTCACTAGCCAGATAGCAAAATCCACTAGCCCCGGGCTATCGGACACTACTTTCTTTACACGCTGCATGAACACAGCGCCTCAGGTAGTGCAAACTTTCAGTCACATGGCCTACTGCTAACATATCCTGACATTGCAGTGAGGTACACTATTAAAGTCACTGTGAATAATTCTCCTTTGTTCTTTCTCTTGTTTAGCAAGGATATGCTCCTGAGTTGTACTATTTATGTCTGTCATTTGGGATATTTGCTCTTCTTACAACAGGTAGGTTTGACACACGTGTTAAGCTTCTATCTCATTAGGCAAATAGTCTAAAGAAAAACCTGGTACATGGAGATGTTGTACATTGTACCAATGTATGATTAAATTTTAGTGATGAGTTTAACTTGTTGCAGTGCTCGAATTTGTTAAAGATTGTGTAGTTGCTGTTTTGTGACACGTATAGGAGACACCAAGGCCACTGGTTGGGTTAATCAGCTTACATTGTGTAAATTGTGGTCTGTAATTATTGTAACAGTGGCATACTAGGTGGTCTTAGGGAAAAATTTACTTTTTTGAAATCTTGGCTGAGAGATAAAAGAAGCGTGGTGGAGTTAGAAAAAAATACTATTTTCAAAGCTCTTGATCTCACCCGTCTCCATATCAAGTTTAATGGCCACCTCAGGCCCGGTCAGCCATATTCAAACCAGTTTGTTTGAAGAAGAAACATAAAATGTATTATTGACCAAAGTCTAGAGATCAAGATGGTTGAATATTGGCCAAGGTTTTTGCTCTCCGTTTTTATGGACCAACGTTGAGGTCTTATAAAAAATGCAGAAAAACAGCAAGGCCAACATCCTGTCATTTTGATGTCATGCTTGGTCAATTAAGCATATTTATTATATGGCTAAATCCCAAGCGCGCAAGGTAAAGTGAATCTTGTGTTTTGATTGGATACCAAGCAGGCAAGGAAGGCTTGTCTTATTTGCGTATCTCCTCGGAATTTCTCGCTTTATTTGCGCAAGAAAATATCTTTCTGTGTCCTTTTTGGCCGTATAATATAGTCTTTACAGAGAGGAGAAGTCGTTACGTCACGTTCCCATGGTAGCAAAATTTTTGGATGACAACAAAGCGAAAATTCACTTAAACAGTAAATTCGCACTGTTTCAAACTTCATCGATCTTATTCAATTTCATTTAAGTTGCCAAATGTTGGGGAAATTTTTTGGGTTAAATCCGAAAGGACCGTATCAAAGTTTAGAAAAAGAAAAGGAAACTTTTTGTGTTGTGCTCACCTACTCCATAAATCGGGCGCGTGAAATAGGACGTTTCATGTCGCAGTCGGGGAAAAACGGCTAAGAAATGTACAGAAAAGCGTGATGCACGTGCAAAGTTGATTTTTTGCCAATCTAAACCTATTGTTTTTTTTTTTTGCTGTTCGCCGTCGCCGTTGCAAAACTCCCTATTGTTGTCATCCAGAAATTTTGCTACCATGGTAACGTGACGTTACACTTCTCCTCTCTATAGACCAAGCTTACTCAGTCAAGGTGGCTCTATATTGGCCTCTTTCTTTTTTTGCGTATTTTTTGGCGTCGGTTTTGTGTCTCAAAAACGCAAACGCAAAAAAAGAACTTACCCAATATCAATCTTGCCCTCACTCTTAGTCAATAAGGCATATATACACCTAATTGCAATAACGTTCTACAGCAATCAGGGATTTCAGACTAAGGAATGAAACAGAAAACATCAGTGGCCATTTAAGCCTTGCTTAACTCAACTGATGTCAGATTAAAGTACTGCAAATGTGTTTACAGGATTATCAAATTGTCAAAAGGTCTTTTGCAAGGCTACACTGTAATTAATTCCTATTTGTCTATTTTTATTTGTCTTTTACTTTTTTTATAACAACGTTAATGCAGTTAGGTGTATGTTGTGGTTCAATTTTATCTTTGGTTTTAATTTTATGTTCTTTTGTTTTTGGGTATGATAATGTATGATAATGAATTTGTTTGAAACAAAGGAAAATAAATTTTACACCAAGGATAAAATTGAACCACAACACATATAAAGACCCTTCTTGGCCGCTTGGAAAGCCAATCAGAACACAGGATTTGCTTCAACGTATAGATGCCAACAGTCCACAAGTGAAAAATGTGAGGACATAATAATTTGTCGTCCCTGCCGCGTACACTTCCTCGCATAAACTTTCGGTTGTTTGTCTCCCACCTTGGTTAATAAGTCGTGTAAAGAACGTAACTGAAAAATACAAATTGTGATTACCGTTAAGCGAAGTTAATCTCTCTCTCATGAAAGCACGGCCTTTTTTACTGCGTGGTTTGTTCGTCAGAAAGTCCAAGGGCCTCCTACCCCAAATCGATCGCCTCTTTTTATTACCGCTTTAACAATCGCGTATCACGAGATTTGAGATTTTACGGGTTTAAAAGGTGAAAGTGAAGCATATGGATAAATAGATATCGCATTTGTGCACACACTTTAGGCTAGCCGGATCCCAGTATCCTAGTCTACGTTAAAGGCGTTCGAAGGCGAATAGAAAAGTAGAAGTTCGGGTGCACGTGGAAGTAGGAAGGGATTCCCCTTCTCTAACCCCCCCACCCCCCACTTTTCCCTCGCGCACCCGCACTTAGGCATGCGGTTTTGCAGTAAGTGTGTTATGCTCTTCATCGCTAGTCTCCTTCGCAGCCGTTTTTGGGGTCGTCACGCAACACTCTTCCCTACTGGTGGGGAGGAGCGTTGTGTGACGACCCTAATAACGGCTGCGAAGAAGACTACTTCATTGTTGCCCATTATAAACTGTACTCAATACAAAAATTCTGTTGTTTTACAGGATTTCTAGTCATCATGCTCCCGTCTTGGTTGATGAACTATCTGTGGCCAGATTCTGTTCTCAACCGACGTGAACGGCGAGGAATTTGCTATGAGCCTGTAAAGTGCTGCACTTGCCTTTGGCATATTTAGAACGGTGGATTCTTCTGTTGTCTAGGTTACACATGTTATGCAAGCATAAGCTCTACAAATCTCGTTCCCAGGGTCTTTGTTTTTCCCGCCTCCTTTTACTCCCAAGGGCCTGGGGACGAGGTAACATAGGACGACCCCATAACCTCCGACTTATAGGTGTCTTTATTAGGTTTCAGTTAGTCCATGCTTGCATCGCATGTGTAAACTTTACGTTAGTTGTTACAGAGTACTTAAAAACACCAATATTTATATAGTTGTTAATGTATTTATGAATGGAGTCAGTTGATTTGATTCCCTGAAAGTAAAAGTTGCTTGTAAAATGTTTCGAAACTGTCCGTTATTTTTTAAAAGATACTTGCCATAAGCAGGTCAGCTGTTTCAGCTTGGGTTATAAAAAGAAGTAACAGTCATTCTTTTAGAGAAATCAAATCAACAGATTCTCCGCTTGATACTGGTGCGTTTGGAGTAGCCTGCGAACGGAAGACGTTTCTCCTCGCTTATCAACGCTGAGGAACGTTTCGCGAGGAGGAGCGTCTGCGACTCAGCGACAGAAATTCCACACTGATGACGTAAAATCTGTCCGGAATCCGGTCAAAAGCGCTAATTGGTCGATGGAGTAGTTTCATTGTTTAGCTATTGTTTACGAATGACAAACAAAAGACAAAAGGCCGCAAAGGTCAAAAGTAATCGCGATGAATCTCTAGCAAAACAGCCAATATTTGTGGAATATAGTCTTCTCTAGAAGAAGCATTTGAGTTTTGCTGAAGCTCATTCGCAGATGAACACAACACTTTACCAAAATCGACCAGGAGAAACGTAAAATTGAAGAAATTTGCATTTGAAACCCCCCGACTACCGGATTTATTGTGTAAACATTGATTTACGTCGTCAGTATGGAATTTCTGTCGCTGAGTCGCAGACGTTCCTCCTCGCGAAACGTCCCTCAGTGGCGATGAGCGAGGAGAAACGCCTGCCGTTCGCGGGCTACGTTTGGAGCAGCTCAGGTTTTTTAAAAAACTGTCAATTTTTCCTCGATCTATGCAGGTATCTTCTTTCGCCTTTTAAGGGCATTTAAAATACATGCGCTCTATACATATTTGACTTGTGATCATAAAATATACATATAATCATACATTTTAGTGCAGTAATCACACTTCTTACAAAATAAGCTTTTTTACTTGTGTCAGCCACCAGTCTACACAGGAATTTTAGAAAGTTTTAGCTTCACGTATACAGCAAACGGCAAACGTCAGGCTGACGTTTGAAAAATTCAAGTTGAGAATTTCTCATAATAGAAAATGAGCAGATAAAAACAGCTCAAAACAATTCTTATGGATAAAATTGCGTGAGATTACTAATTTGTGTGTAGAAATGATGAACAGTAAACGACAAGTAAAGATGAAACTTGGTCACGTGCTAAAAATTCGCGTTTGCCGTTTGACGTAAACGTGATGCTTAGCCTTTCGAATATGTGGTAAGATACGAGTGTACGTAACAGCTGCTAGTAATGTACAGTCGAAACTCCCGTAAGCGACCACCAGAAATGCAAAGACTGAGTGGCCGCTTACGGGAGGTGGTCGCTTACAAGAATCGAACTATAGGGCACCTCTTCAGAGAAGAGTTCCAGGCACATCTACTTTATGGAAGATGACTTAATGCATGCAATATCTAAGTTACGCCATGTGTAGTTTCGTGTTGTTACTTAAGTTCCTCATATATTCTAAGTAGCATAGTACACACAGTGAACAATAGAGATCAGAGAATGCGTCAAGTGGTCGCTTACAAGAGGTTAACAACAAAGGAAAATCATTAACCGTCAGGCCCAGAAAAAGGTCGCGATCGCTTACAGGAGGTGGTCGTTTACTAGACGTTCCAACTGTAAGGCTTTGACTGGGAACATTTTGGTCTTTTGGATTGGCGGTCGCTTATGTAAGGTGGTCCCTTACGAGAGGTGGTCGCACATGGAGGTTCGATTGATGATAATACAGTCCCACGCTAAGGTACACTTTTCTGTTGGGAATTTGTAGTTTATATTTACGTTTCATTGTGATACCTGCATTTCCTCGTATATTAGGTTGGCCTTTAGTAGGACAATTTATGGACGTCTTTTAATTTTTATAACTGGCTTTGAAGAGATCAGGTTCAAATTCGATGAAATGACTACCTATATGTTTTCAATGTATAATTTTTGTAAAGTGGGGTGTGGCTGACGGGGGTGCATTTACTACCAGCACGCCTGACGCTAGCCTGTGGACACAGACGTATTTCCGGTCGTCGCGGAAATACGTCTGTGTCCGCTGGCTGTAAGAATCGCGTTAAACCTAAAAGTGGAATTGCGATTTGCGTCTTTGATTTCTTGAACCTCCCAGTAACCGGTTACAAGTTGTTCGCAGTACTTTTCGTCAGCCAGACACAACGTTGACAACATTTGCATTATCGTTTTACTCGAATAAGCAACGCGGCGCTTATAAAATTTTACACGCTCCAAATACGGCGTCTGTTTGAGGGCGGCTTTTATTTGAAAGTTGGGCGCGACAAAGAGTTGTTGTAACTAAGATATTAGGGAACTTAAGAACCACGACGAAGTTCACGACGACGACGTCTGTTGACTGGGAAAAGACTGGAACGAGAACGTCGGTTTCAGCGGGAAAAAGGAAAGTTAAGATGCGGTCGGTCGGTAGGTCGACAACGACGACACTGAATGTAAACATAGATGTAAAACTGTGCTGTTCGTTCGCAACAAAGTTTTTCGCAATGGTGTCTTTCAAAACAACGCAAGATCTTATTTGTTCAAGCCGTACGTCTAATTTCATTGACGATGAAAAATTTTTTGTGCTGTCTGACCTTTTCGAGTGGAAATACACCTACTAAGTTCCGTACGAAATTATTCAACTTTCAACTTGAATGAGATGGCCGAGTCCGAGTGTCCGTCAGAGTTTAGATTTCGAAAAAGAGACATTCTGATGTGATAGCTGTTTTCCATATAAAGTTTATTTTCTCTATATTAGAGATATATGATTTGCCTTACCTAAATACGTACAAATAAATTTATCACAATTCACTTACGAGTTCGCTCGCTCGGCCTCCTCAGCTGTTGCCATTCTTCAAAGTAAAATCAATTCATTAGTCGAATTTTCAATCAACATCGCTTGTTTGGAGAAAAAAGGAACGATACCTGGATTTAGGAGGACAAGAAAATGTAAAGGCCTTCAAAAATCGCTTAAAACAGTGGATTTATACCTGCCGAAGCTTGTGGATTGCAGGACGACGTGATTCTACTTTGTTTGGCGTCGTCGACGACACCACGACGACGAAATTTACTAGTCGCGCTTGCGCAGTACAGTGTAACTCACTTCCGGTCGTCGTCGACCAAGCCGTCGTCGTGGTTCTTAAGTTCCCTATTGTTATTTTGACGTCTTATTTTGACTAGTTCGGGGTTGCGGCGCTTATTCGAGTAAATACGATGTTCGTATTCTCTGTGATGAAACTACACGAGCTAATGAGCGGCGACTTTCTTGCATGCTTTTATTTCATTTTATAAAATAACTAAGATAGCACGCGCGTTCTGATTGGTTAAAAACCTATGGTTTATTGTGCTGGTAAACTCATAGAAAATTGAGACATTTTCCGTTTTACTTTAAGTAATGATATTCTCCAGCGTTAACCTCAATTACAAGCTATCATAGTTTCACGGCCAAGAATATGAATTCACTACGCGTGATTATAAATTTCGTGTCGCACAACTGAAATATTTGTTGTAAAGTAGTATTGTACATTATCAAGTTTTTCTTGACCTCTCCTATAGTTATTAAAGTCGTAGTAATGACACATTTAAAGCGCTGTTTGTCGTGTCACCCTAAATAATTTTGCCGACAGGATAAGCGCTACGAAAGTGGCAAACGGGGACAGCGAAAACCTTAGACTGACTACAACTACGAAGGTTTCTATTTACAAAGTCTCTGTTCCTGCAAATGAGGCTTGGGGGCTACTGAACAAAATGTTATACGGGGAGGCTCAGCCGAGGTCCAACCCCTTAACGGGGGAGGGGGGGTCCTTAACCTTTTATTTTCAATTTTTGGCAGAAAAGGTACACCTTTCATTTACCTTCCACTGAAAAATAATACCCAATACACCATCTTTTAAATACAAATAAATAATTAATTAAAACCAGAAAATTTTCTCTCCTTTTCACGGCCTTGAAATGCGCCTTTTATGCAAAGTCATAGCGGCACTTTTGTTAAGTTAGATTAAAGGGACAGGTTCACGGTTAAGCGCGTGCTCATTAATTAAATTACTTTTTACCAATTTATTATTAATTCTATAGGTAAATAATCCCACTCACATGTATCTCAGCGCTCTCAGAGTGTATTTCAAAGTAGAAGTGTATTTCAGAGTAACCTGAAGTAGTATGGAGGAATACTAAAATCGCAGAAAAAATTAGTGGATTATGCCAACACTACTTAACGTTGAATTCATTGTTGACCCGAAGGTTTTATTCAATGGGTGATTAATTTACAGCTATTTGCAAATATTTTTAAGTTGATCAAGTGCAAGTGACTGCCAGGAGAGTGTGCAGATTGGTTCTTTGACAACATAATGACATGATCATATTGCTTGCATAGACGATATAGCATGTTCCGGCAGAAAAAACAGCATTTTAATAAATGGGCATGCCCTGAACAGTGAACCTGTCCCTTTTAACAGCAGTGAGTGCTTGACTCAAAATGACTGTTGTTTTGTCATTCGCGGTTATTATGGCAACGTATTCCAAGGGTTATTCAATATTTAAGATTTTAGCACTACTAACTACAAAATTAAGCCGGTAACCCCCCACTCTTTTCTGACGATGCCTATTTGCTTTAGGCGAGAAACATGCGCAGTGGTTTTAAAAGTAATTCTACAGCGCAATTTTTTTCATAAAAAGGATCCAATAAAATCAGTTAAGAAAGGCGGTTTTCCCCCAAAAAGTCAGCCAACTGCTTTTAATTTAATGTTTAAAG